GTCAGGTCTTGGGTGTTTTGACTGTGCTCACAGTATGTTCTGGAGACCTTCGTGGTTAGGAAACTGCGCTGAGTCTCACGCAGTGAGGTATTACTGGTGCTTTCCTTTGAAAGATGAGCAAGTCATAGTGCAACATGCAAAACTGAGTCAGGGATACTAATGTAAGTATATCTCTGTCAACTGACCAAAAATCACAGAGTAAGGGTTACAAAATCAGCTTTCCTGGCAGGGCAGGGGACACGTCTGATGCCTGCACTGAGCTGCACACAGTGTGGTGTCCTCAACAGCATGTGCTACTGGGCCTGGCTACGTGAAGAACTATAGAGGTGATGTCTTTGTGGGTTTTCATTAGCAGTTTACCATTCTTGATGAAAGCCATTTCAGGTGCCCTAAAAATTATTGCTTTGTGTCTCAGTTATCAGGCAATAAATACTTGCCACTCCAAACCACAAAAATCTGAGACATTTCTTTGTGCAGCTTTGAGTTGTCCCTACCAATGCAAAATGCAATGCAGGAGAGTATCATTGCTGTTACTGCTGGTATCACATTTAGCTGTTAGCATAGTAGGACTGGTTGGACTTCAAGAAAGGAATATATTTGTTACAACTCCCATGAATACTTACCCTCTATCAGCAGCTCCTTAGAACACCACTCAGGGGTGTAGGCAGGTGAATGTGCAGCTTGTGGCCATGGGCCAGGTGAAGGAGAGTTTTTGCTGGCTGCTTGCTTTACAGAAAACAAGCTTTTGCCCTCTGACAGCCCAGCTGTGTGTAGAGCAGTGTTTGCTTTCTGTAATGTCAGGGAGAGGTACAGCTGAGCAGGAAAATGGTGCTTTGAGTGACTTCTCCATAGACTGCTCCTTGCCAATCTGGATTATTCTTTAATACTTCATTTTTTCCCATTACTTTGTCAAACCTGCAGGAAATTCACCATTTCCATTATTTCTACAAGCTTCACTTGCAGTTACTGTGTGAAGCCTTTGAATCCATAGCATCAAATCCAAACTACTCCTTTTGACCACCCAAGTTCCAAACACACTGACTGTGAAGCATTATCTTTAAATTGCCTGTTAAAATCTAAAAGAATTTCCAAATATTTTTAATAATTCCCTGAAACAGCCTAAGGACATCTGTTAAAGGATTGAATTTACCTACAGATAGCACAGGTTGGGATTGCTTCAGCTGCAAATTAAGGTTGTCAGTCAAAGAGCTTTTTCTTTCTTAGTCTCATCTGGGAGTTTTCAGCATCTCTTCCAAAGTGAGCCAAAGAAAGACAGCTAGTGAGCTGTTTGGGCTTGTTTTGCCATGTGTTTAACCTAACAAAGTTGTGAAGTCTTTTGTGAAGTCTTTTGTGTTTCACTGGATATCTCAAGTAGTAGTGAGGAAGCAAACAATACTGTTTTGACATATTTTAGCACCTTTTATATTCTTTATTCTGCAGCATGTGTCCAGTGTTTTAATACATTGAGTAGCTGTGGCAATTCTTTTGTGTGTCTGTAAACATTTGCATGATTGCTGAGGCATTGAGTCTGCTAATGAGGGCCTGGAGTAAGAGGCAAAAGGATGTATTTACTCTGTAGGATTTCCTGCAGAGATGAATAGTAAGTTCATGGTGGGCTGGGAGTAGATAAGCAGCCCAAAGAGTCCTTAAAATATGTGCTTGGTTATTGCATGCTGATATTCTAACTCTAGGCCTATCGAGTGTTATGATAGTTTATGAAAATATTACTTCACTATATAGTTATTTTTATTGTGGTGATGATGCCATATTGATCTTGATTTCCACTTGCTCATGTGCATCAGAATACTTAATTTTGTGTCATAATAGCATGAAAGTGTAAGAGAAGGGAAAGCTTTTGTCTTTTCAATTATGATTCCTAACTGAGGTTTTTTTTTTTCATGGTTTAATTATTTTTTCCTGTGTGATTAAAAGAAGTGACATCATCACCAAGCTTGCAACAGAGGAAATATTTTTTAATGTCCAGTGTTTAAAAAATGTCAGCATTATTTCCTTTGTGAACAAAAGATGATAGACACAAAATCTGCAGAATTTTCAGCAAGAGGGAGTAATTTTTTCAGTTCTTTTCATTCCTTAATGGAAAGAGAATTATGGAAATGAGAGCGAGCATTGCATTAAGTGCTTGAAATGTTCCTTCCCTCCAGACCAATAAAAACATAACTCTTCCATTAGGGAAATTTAGATTTTTGAAGGCTGCATGAATCTGAGTTCTGTATCAGTGAATGAGATGACTATGCTGGGGTAAGCATTTCAAGGTCTGATTATGTATTTTAAGTCTTTTGTAGGTGGATATCAGCACTTAACTTGTCTTGTAGGACTTGTATGGAGCAACTTTTTCTATGACTCGTTTTATATTAACGTTTTATATTAATCTTGTATTACCTGTGTAGTGCACTTTCCTCTTATGTAGGGCAGTAACAGAGTTTCAAAGCCACATGGATTGAATGATTTTTCCTACCTGAATTAGGACTAGAAGGTTTCCTGCCCTTTTCAAGACCCTCTAGCTACTTGCATAACCCCATAAACAAAAGTCAAATAGTGCGAGTCAAAAATGTGACTTTTCTGTGCTCCATCTGGCATGTTTATAGTAATTATAGTCTCACCTATGACAGTCTCACCTGTGACTATACATTATGCAGATTGTAGCTGTCTGCCTTTAAAACAATGCTTCATCTCTAACTCTGAAATGAATATGTAGCAGAAAACTGCTGTTGCTGGGGGTGTTCAAATAAGGTCTCTGATCAGTGGGTATTGAAGTGAACCATCTTTTTTTCCATGCTGTTAACCATAAAATAGTTATGGTCAACATTAATTTCTAGAGGTTCTAGAAGATCACAAATAAACATTAAAGAATCATAGAACCATAGAATTTAGAGGTTGGAATGGACCTCACAGATCCCCTAGTCCCAACTCCCTGCCCTGGGCAGGGACACCTCCTAGATCAGGTTGCTCAAGACCTTATCCAGCCTGGCCTTGAACACTGCCAGGGTTGGGGCAGCCACCACATCCCTGGGCAACCTTAATAGTAAATAACATTTTTCTAATATCCAACCTAAATTTCCCCTCCTTCAGTTTGAACCCATTGCCCCTTGTCCTGTCACTGCAGTTCTTAACACAGAGTCCCTCTCCAGCTCCTTGTAGGCCCTTCAGACATTGAAAAGTTGCTATGAGGTCTCCACACAGTCTGGAGAAGAGGAAAACCATTACAAGTCATTATGATTGATCCTTACTTTTAACTTACTAACCACAATTCAGTTTCATACAATATATTGCTTAAGCTGTCAAACATATCACAGAGGTATAGAAAGATGATTTGTTCTCATTTAGTGTATGAAGAGACAGACACACCAAGAGCTTCTGACACTTGTCCAAGGCCTGGAAATGATTATGTGGAATTCTTTCCTTTTGTTATTTTTATTTCGTTGCAAATAGTCTGAATGTAGTCATAAGGGCCTAGTTATAATTGATCAAATAAATCCCATTTTCCCCTTTCTTGCTGAAGGGCTGGTCCCAGGGGCACATGCTGCAAAAACAATTAAGGGAACAAATGTAATTATTGTGAATATTTGGTCACATGTAGGGCTGGTTTTATTTTAGTTTTTTGGGGTTTGTTTGCTGCAAACACCACTGGAAATCATTTGTCCATCACTAGAGTGTTCCTCAAAGCTCCAGTTCATCACAGGACTCCCAGGAGTGCATTTCCATGTTCTGTTATGTTTTATATGTAAACAACCTAGTCCTTCTGCCATGAGCCATAAAAAAATGGCATCTATGAAAATATTAATTATATTCCTTACAAATTCAGGAGGCAAGGAGAACATGCCTGACTTACATGATTCTCTATCCCCATCCTGATTATTCATTCCTAATGGAAAGATTTTGAAACACTGTAAAAAGACATTGGTGGAGAAAGCACATGGACATAAAATTTTCAACTCCTTCCTGATTTTCTTGCTATTTTATCTGCTCTACATACCCTGTGGCTTAGTCAGTTGATGAATTTGATCAGCTGCCTGCTTTAGACATTACAAAGAGATACTGGCAGTGAATTTCCACTTCACACATTAGACTTTTGGCTAATTTAAGTTGGGGTCACCCTGTGCTAGTCCTGTAGGTGGCTAATAGTCCCTGAGAAACCAACTGTGCAGACTGGGGCTGCCTGTGGAAAACATGAGTTCCCTGGTGTCTTGGATGTGCTTGCACACAGAAGGAGCCAGATGGTTGTAGCTGTGGGTTTTCTTTGGCTTTGCTCTGCAGGAGAAATACCTGAGATGGATGTTGCCAGGTAGCTGTGTGGCTCCTGTGTGTTAGCAGCTGCTCTGGCTCTTCTCTCAGTGGTGTATTTAAAGCCAAAAAGAAAAATGGGTAGAAATCTCTATGGTCAAATGGGAAGCGAGGAAGACTTCATGTCTTGTGTTCTGCAGACCCAATGGGATGGGTCTGCGCCCAAACTGGTATCCCAGTCTGCAATGTGATGGTGATATGTGCCAGGTGGTTCAGAAGTGCTTTGAGATCAAAGGCACCTTCTACAAGTTAATGAGGTTTTGTCCTTCCCAGCTCTTGGGCATAGTTCACTCACATGCCCATGTGGTAGGCACTCACAGTCACCTCTGGAGTCATCTGAAGCTGTAATATTACAGATTTGACTCTAAAATGCACTGCTGCAGTCAGCCATCCTCCCAAAATGCCGTGGCCTTGGGGAAGCTTAGATCAAGTCCCTTATCAACTGCACAGTTAAAGTAACAGGTTGTTTGGCTTGTCCTGGCAATAAAGCCAGCCAGCCCTAAAATAAGGTTAGTCTCTGGGACACTGCCTGGGCCAAATAGAGGTGTGCACTCTGGTTTTACCCTGGACAATAAGCATTGCTGCAGCCCAACCACACACCCAACCTTGGAACCATTACCCTAGGATTAGACAAAGCTCCAGATGTCTCAAGCAGGCTGGTCCTATCTCACATCCTTGGTCTCATGGTCTTGTTCCAGGGCAACCCACTGTACTTCCAGTCTGCCAGAAATGTGACAGTGAACATCCTCAATGAGAAGACGAAAGTCCTCACTCGCCTTGTAACAGGTAAGGAGGGGGAAAGGCTGCTTGAAAAGATTAAGGAGGGATGAAAACAGATGTGTTGTGGGATGCTGTGCTGGCTTTAGACAGTGCACAGGAGGGGAGCCCAGGTGTCTTGTGAAGTACAAATGAAAACTTCGCTCCACTTTGTAGAAACAAAGCAAGAGAGATGAAAGCCATGCTGGAGAGGCAACTGGCTGGTGGTGTCTGATAATGAAGCAGACCATCGTTGTCATTTGAAAGCCAATCCAGAGACAGAAATGTTAGTTGTTTGACTTCAGGGTCAAGAAGAACATATGCAGGCTGACATTTCTGTTGTAACAAGCACAGGCTTTTCCTGAGACACTTAGAACTTGCCTGAGATCTTGGGATCTCTGCTGATCAACAGTGGCTGAGTTGGGTCACTTTGCATTTTAGAGTCCATCTGTTGATGAAGAACACTCTTGTGCTCTTAAGCATGAGTGTGTTTGATGGGGAAATGGGTGTTTCATAAATCCCCAGTGCACAGCAGCCTTTGAAAGAATGCATCTGTAATTTGGGTTGAAAATGCATTATATATTGTAATGTTTTATATATATATA